CTTCTTTTATTTCTTGTAAGTAAATGTTCTCACACTTGGCTTCTTCATAGTCTTTCTTATCACCTATGGATAGCATGTATTAGTGATTATTTATTGAACTGCATTCAAAACAGAGATTAATTCTGATCAAGCAACTTTTTTCATATACAGTTGAAGTTGTAGTGTTAATAATTAGGCTTTTCAGTGAAATAATTATGCCCTGATGGGAGTGCAGGAAGGTACAGCTGAAACCTGCACTAAAAAAAGCCTGTTGCTGTCAAGTTGATTCTAATTCATAGTGACCCTAAAGGACAGAGTAGAATTGCCCCATAGGGTTTTCAAGAAGCAGCTCGTGGATTAGAACTGCTGACCTTTTGGTTAACAGCTGTAGCACTTAACCACTGTGCTACTTGAAACATAGCTTACAGCCACTTGGAAAATAAAACCAACAAAAAATATACACACACACAAACCCAAGTTCCTCAGATAACAAATTGTGATAGAATGAGCCATCTTGACACTTGGTTTTATAAAAACTAACAGAAGGTAGTTTATCCTGAAAAAAATTGTCCACACACGTTGGCCCCGCTACCATTCAGGACCTTGGAAATTTTTCCTTTCTTCCTGACTCGGTGCTATCTGAAGCACTGGAAAAAACAAAACAAAAAAATTCTATTCTGAATTCCCAACTTTTCATTAAACCATAATAATATACCAATACAATGCAGAATTTAGAAGAGACATGAGTTGGAAATTGTATGTATCCAGAGGACCCTCTCTCTTATTAGGCTTAAAATTGTTCTTAATTCCTAATTTCCCTATTTTATTTGCAAATTGTTAGGTTTTTACTTGTTAATCGCAAAAAGGCCATAAGAAATGTCACCTTAAACTGAGGACATTGATAACCCATCAACAACAGAGCTTATGCTTCCTTTTACTGTATTCCCTATAGAGGAATATGCTAAATTCACACCATTTCACTTCCTCTTTCTAACTAGTTTCCTCCTTAACTAATGGCAGAATTATAAAATTCTACCATAAAATGGAAGAATCGTAAAATTTCAGGAATGGCAGGTACCTTAAAGGTTATCTGATCAGAACACTCACCTAATGTTTGAAGCATCCTTACAACATTCCCAAGAGTTATATAGGCTAAGCTTCCTAACAGTAAGCACAGATTCACCACCCTGCAAAGCAACACATTCCATCTGGGAACTACTAAGATGTTTAAAAAAAAAGAAAAACTTCTTAACCTCTTACTGTGTGCCTACCATGTGATACAAACACTTAGCTAAGTGCTATGAAAACATTATCTCATTTTATCCTCACTAACACACCATGAGGTAGATGTTATCCTTATTTTACAGGTGAGGAAAATAAGAACCTCAAAGAGGCCAAGTAACCTGTCCACAGACACATAACTAACAAGGTGCAGAGCCAAGATTTAAATTCAAGTGTTAGCTTCAAAATCTTTGCCCTTACCTCTGTGCCATAACACGTCCAGCAGAAAACTCTCTTCCTGATCCTTAATTCCTCTTCCACATGATAGCCTTCTAAATATTTGAAGATAGTTAGCATGCCTCCTTTCTCTTCAATTCCATTTTTGGAATAAGCAGAGTTTAAATTAAATACATAAATTATTTTTTTTAAAAACAGATCTTGAACCTGCTTTTCCTCAAGACAGGCTATGCTGCTTTCTTCTACCATTATTACCCAGCGTGGCTCACCATCCCACCCCCATCACCACACAAGCTCTAACTTGGCCATAGCTCTGTTATTGTGCAGTGCTCAGAAGGCAGAGCATATTCTAGGTATGGTCTGCCTAGCATGGGGAGAGCAGACCTAGTACTGCTCTTGTCCTAAAGATGATTTTTCTATGAATGAAGCCACATGCTGACTGGATACCATGGACCCACCACATCACTAGGTCATAGCAGGATATCTGGGAGTATAATTTGAAAAAAATATGTTAGGTGATTCTCTTACACCTTCTTAGGTAAATTAATAGATTATTACTTATAAAGAGATTTTACTTGTAAGTACTGTATACTATATTTGGGTAATCAGCCTGGACAAACCCTATCACCACCAAAAATAGTCACTGTACAGTATTAAAGCTTTTTTCCTAATTCGCATAGAAGCACTAGCTTCACTTTTTACTCTTTATAGTTGTTGTTTTTTCCTGTGTGTGTGTGTGTGTGTGTGTGTGTGGAGGGTGTCTTAGTCATCTAGTGCTGCTGCAACAGAAATACCACAAGTGGATGGCTTCATCAACCAGAAGTTTATTCGCCCACAGTCTAGTAGGCTAGAAGTCTAAATTCAGGGTGTCAGCTCCAGGGGAAGGCTTTCTCTGTCGGCTCTGGAGGAAGGTCCTTGTCATCGGTCTTCCCACGGACTAGGTGCTTCTCCGCACAGGGACCCTGGGTCCAAAGGACATGCTCTGTTCCTGGCACTGCTTTCTTGGTGGATGAGGTCCCCAACTCTCTGCTTGCTTCCCTTTCCTTTTATCTCTTGCAAGATAAAAGGTGGTGCAGGCCACACCCCAGGGAAACTCCCTTTACATTGGATCAGGGATGTGACATGATCAAGGGTGTTACACCCCACCCTAATCCTCTTTAACCACAGGCAGAGACTATGATTTATAACATGCAGGAAAATCACAAAATGGAGGACAACCACACAATACTGGGAATCATGGCCTAACCAAGTTGACCCATATTTTTGCGGGACACAATTCAGTCCATGACAGAGGAGTATATGCGTATGTGAGTGTGTTTCAGGGACATTCTTCAATGACTTTTCGAGGGAGGAGTTATTTTTATTGCAAATGACAACATGATATAGTAGAAGGAGCAGGCTATGGAGGCAGAAGACCTGGGCTCAAGTCTTGACTATAATTTACTCCCCATGTGACTTTGGACAAGTAGCTTCACCATTCTCAGGTCCAGATTTATAATATAAAATAAAATGATCTAGTTCAAGCATTATCTAGAACTTCAAGTTAAGTAATGGCTAAAATATGCTATAGAAATATACTCACTTATTATTCTACTAGACAGATTTTTTAAACAGCCTTACACTTGGGTGGAAATGTTGCCAGTAAATATTTATCTAGAGAGATTAATTTATAACTGTATTATCATGATGTCATGTACACAACTCCAGTCCATGGACTAGACATGAGTGATACCACAAGGCAGTAAAATAAAGAGATGCTGATAGCTGCAAAATTACACGACATCTTCTAATTAATCTTTTGTCTTTCACTCAGTGTACAAATATGTCTTAGATTTTCAAATTAAATAATAACTATAAATTGTGTTCTGGAAATATGTTGATAGATTAATATTTTTATGAAACTAGTATTTTAGCATTTTATTTTTTCATTTTTTCCATAGCTCACCCCCTCCATTCATATATTAGTATTCCATTTTTCTGAGGCCACTTTATCCCAGAGAGTTTTACTTTTCTGCACAATTGTATCTTCAGATGGCCATCTAAAATGAAGATGCTCGTTATAATCGGATGTAAGAGGCAGAGGATTTGTTTTCAAAAAACATGGGAGCTTTGAAACACCTAATGGGAAGAATAAAAGAATGTGCTAATGCAGAATTAATCAGTTTGCTAGGCAGGCTTTAGGCCCTTAAAGTTGGAAAAATGAATTTGCAGTGGCATAAATACAGAGTGTGTAAATTTCTCTAGCAGCACTCAGCAGCAATGGGAAGAGGAGAAAAGAAGGTAAATTGTTGATTCAATATTAGATGTTTGTTAGGTGATTGAAATAAACAATAAGGAGGCAAGGAAGTTGACAGTATGGGCAAGAAAACTGTTGAGGTCATGAAGAAGGGGAATAAAGTAAAGATAGAAAGGGACCGAAGTGGTCAGACTAGGCCATTGTAGAAGCCAGTCATTAAAGTCCTTTCAGCTGATGGCAAGGACTGAGACTTCAGTGACTGTAGGCGAGAGACTAGAAGGTCGATTTATGACAGACAAGGAAGGAAAGGGTGGCATATACAAAGGACACAAGTCTCAAAAAAACAAAAACAATCAAAAAACAAACAACCCTGCATTCTACAGGAGGGAGAGTTCTGGAAGTTTATAGGAAGCAGTGAAATTTCTGGCTCACTCTCTAGATGCTAAAACACATGGGCTGGGCCAGAATGAACAACTTCTATTCAAGGGCATCTCAGAAGAAGGGGTATTTTTGGGCAGCAGAAGAAAGGCTTACGAAGATGTTCAGGCTAAGAAGTAGTGAGATAATTCTGTAACTTGATGGAGGATACAGGTTAAAGTATTTCCCATGGAAGGAAGATTTCCAATCTCTATTTTGAAAACTACTTTTTGTTTAAAACTATAGATCTACTAATGACCTATGAAGATTCTGATTTAAATATTAGCCAGAATGTTATTTTTTTATCTTAACCCTTTTTTAATACCTTTTAAAATATCTTCTAATATATTAGTTAGGGTATACACTTAGCCTATTACAAACTTAGACTTTCCTGTGTTAGTAAGGAAGACACAGGTAGCCAGTTTCTTTGAATTCTTTTGACTGGTTTAAGTTATTTTTCAACAAGATGGGTTGTAATTTAATTGGTCAATAATAGAACACTTAGTTCTCGAATTATGAGCTGGCTATTCTCCAAAAGTTCATTCTTAAGTCCATTTTGAGACACTTTGGGATGCAATTTCCTACTGCAAAACTGTAATGGTAAGGTCAATTACACCTAACCACGGGGCCTAACACTGGGTCTCTATGCCTACCCAGCCTTCTAGTCACAGAAGCAGGAGCTTCCCTACAGTCCAATGGCTTCCCCAGGATCTGCAACTCTAGGCAGTGGCATCATCCATGAGGACTGGGCTGTGGCTGCTGGTGGGAGGTTGGGGAGTGGGATACCACTGTGGGCATGACTAGTTTACTTTCTAAATTTGTGTGAGAGAAAATCAGCTTCCCTCCTGCCTTGTTTTTGTGCCTGGGAACAGGTTGGCCATTCTCAGATGAACCCCTCATCACTGATATGGTAATTTGGGTAATTCTAAGATAAGGTATTGTGTAAGTCACTGAAATAGCAGTGAGATTTCTAATAATGATGACTGTGTTAGGGCTGTTCTTCTAAGAAATGATACTTGTTATACAACCTTGGGTGTCCATGGAGTAGAAAACTGGATTGACTCTTTATGAAACCACTATAGTCCATGAAATTCTTATCTTAAAAATACACTGTGGGTATTTCTTGTCCTTTGTTTCCTCAAAAGCTAAAGTCATGAAAAATTGCAGTTCCTTTGGAAGTAATTATATTTCAATTTATTCAGAGCTTTAATGTTCAAAATGCCAAGCACAATGTTTGTCAGGCACTAATGGCTTAATAAATGTTTATTAAATGAATGAATGGTCAGCAATTCTCCAGGAAATTGCTAGCAGAGTAGCTCTTTTATGATCGGAACACTAGCTAGAGTTCAGTCTTTGTATGATAAGACATGTACAGAATGATGTATATGTAGTATTTTAAATTAATACGTTTTATGCTTTATATTTTCAAGTTAGTTGACTTCATGTGGTGACAGGAGGATGTTGATCACTTCGTGTTTTTAATCGCCACTGCTACAGTGGTTATTTTGCATGATAATATTTTACTTTGGGCCCTGGAGATTCTTATGGCTATTGTTTACTGACAGCAACAACAAAGAGGTAACACCAACTACAGATAAATCTGTAAGAATGTATTTTTTCAGTCTTCAGCTAAGATAAAGTGACAGAAAAGTAAATAGAATCTTTTTTTTTTTTTTGGCAGAAGTTTATAAACTTTTTATAGTAAGAACCTATAATTATGAAAATCATGACACTCTACAAGAACAAAAATGATATACCCCCCATGTTTCCCTATCTCTTCCAAGATTGAAAGTAGTTACTAAATAAAAAACTAAAAACCAAACCAGTTGGTGTTGAAGTCAGTTCTGACTCACGGCTAACCAAAGGTTGGCATCTGAACCCATCCAGAGATGCCTCGGAAGAAAGCCTGGAGATGTGCTTCCAAAAGGTCACAGCTTTGAAACCCTTACGGAATACGGTTCTACTCTGCATACGTGAGGTTGCTATGAAAGTAGTTATTAGAACCCAGTTATTGAGAAAGCATGTGCTCTGTATTTTTGCTACCACTTCTCCTGATGATAAAAGAATATTTACTAAAAGTGAGAAGAAACATCAGTAACCTTATTAAGAAATGTGGCCATCAAGCTTAATTCATATGACAGTATTCTATTTAATTGAAATAATTATTAAATTAAGTGCTTAAAAAAACTCTTTTACTCCAGAGTTTAATATGCATGTGCCTGATATTGAATACTTAACTAAAGGGAGAACAATTCAGGGTTGTATATTAATTCAACAATTCATTTTTCTTTAGTTGTGTATGGATCCTGGTTTGATCATGCTTTAAGCTGGGAAGAGCACAAAAATGATAAGAACATTCTAACAATATTCTATGAAGAAATGAAGAAAGTAAGTCTTTCTCAACTTTTCAACAAACAAAATTTAAATCTCATTAAGTGAACACAGTAAATCAATAAATGAATTCTTCTTTTCAGATTTTAAAGAATGAATTTGAAGTTTTGATAAAAATTATACTATTATTTATTTGTGTGTTGCTCAGGATCTTTCTAAAGGCATAAAGGAAATAGCTACTTTCCTCGGTGTACATATGAGTGACAGTGAAATTAATAATATTGCTTGGAAAACATCATTCAGTGAAATGAAAAATAACTCAGCCAGAGAAAACTATGATCCAAATCAAACCGTCTGTGCCCTCACATCTAATAGGAAGCTGGTGTTTAGGAAAGGTAAGCCAGAAAGAAATGTGGTGCTTTGCCTGGGGTTTGCATTTATAAGTGGTTCCTTTGTACTATTTTTAATCTCTCATCTTACCTTCGTACACTCCATATCTTGCACAATGCTTTTCCTGTCGTCATCCTTCAGGGATTGTTTATTAAATGAAATTGTTGAATGGCATTCTTCCTAGATATTGAGGTTTTCATGTCCAGTTAGGAACCAACTGAGAGATGCAGGAGTCAAACACATGGAAATGATGAACAATTTGAAGAATGTGCCCTAGGTCCATAGCCTAATGCATTTGCTAATACATCACCCCTGACTGTATAAACACACCCTTCCGGTCCCAGCCAATCAGATGCAGTCCTCTTCCCTGCTGGGCAGCATGAGGTAAAGTATGATGCAGTACATGCATCTCTTCAGGAGAGAAAGAAACTGTGAAGAGTATACTTTCCCATACTCATAATCAGATAAATTACTCTTCAGGAGTGAGTTGGGCAGAAAAGGTGGAAATATTATCTAAGGACATTCTTCTGCATGGAAACATGAAGAGAAAGAAATAAGTCTTCCCCACTCACCCCAATGTTATACTTAGGAGTTTTGGTTCATCTGGATACAGAATTGTTTTGAAGCCCATGTGAATTTTTATCCATATCTGTGGGAAAAATGTTTTTGTATTACTTGTAAAGGCAAGATTATCTGCATGTACATACTCAGGTTTCTTACATGAAAACACACGTTTTATTTTGCTTCTTTGGTACAAATGAATATAATTCCTTCCAAAGCAAATATTTGCCAACTTGTAGAGAACAGATATTGTCTTAACTTTGCAAAGATTATTTTTCCATTTTGATGGCTCATTTCTATCTCCTTATTTTGCCAAACCAGGGCTAAGAGGGAGGTGAGAATTCAATTTAGCAAATATTTATTAATAAACTTAATTCTAAGAACTAGGATTGAAAAACTGAATAAGGCACTGCCCTGTCCTTCAGAAGATCATAATCTAGACAGGAATACAAGGTGATAAGGACTATACTAGTAGTGTGAGCAAAATGTGAATGGCAGCATGGATAAGGGAGAGATAACTGTTTTCTAGCAAAGTGTGGATGGAGGTGAGGGGTGAGGAGATCACACTGGATCTGGGACTGGAAGGACAAGCGGGATTTTATCAAGAAAGTGTCAGGGAAGGAACACATTCCAGCCAGAGTTAGCAGCAAGCAGAAAGTCCAGAACTATCATGAAACTGGGTGGTATTTTCTAGAAAGAATAGGTAGTCTCATATGCTATACTGGTATGTGATGTGCGAAGCAGAATGAGGAACATGTGTCTGTAAAGAAAGAAAGATTAGGGCCAGCAAGCGACAGCTTTGATGGATATGGTGGGAAGCTTTTTCTCCTGGTTTATTTGTTGTTTTAAGAAGGCACTTATCATGGACAGGCCTGTGTGCTGTAAAATTATAATGTCAGCATGAGAATTGATTAGACAGGGGAAGCAGAGACAGAAAGTCCAGCAAATCATCCAGTTGTAACAACCCAGGTAAGAAATATTAAGGGTCGCAATTTGGGCAGGGGCAGTGGAACTGCTGTTGGCTAGAGCTGAGCTGATAAGTCAGTTTAGGAGACATTAGCAGATTGTAGAAATAGTTCAGGATTAGAGGGACTAGTAAAGAAAGAAGGAGCCCTGGTAGCACAACAGTTAAGCCCTTGGCTACTAAACGAAGGTTGGCAGTTTGAACCCACCCAGCGACTCCGCAGGAGAAAGATCTGCTGATCTGCTCCCGTAAAGATTTTAGCCTAGGAAACCTTATGGGGCAGTTCTACTCTGTGCTATAGGGTCACTAGGAGTTGGAGTCTACTCGGCTCAACAGCACACAACAACAACAGTAAAAAAAGAAGGAGCCCTGGTGGTGCAACAGTAAAACGCTCAGCTGCTAACTGAAAGGTTGGCTGACTGATATACTGCACACAGGAGAAAGACCTGGCGATCTGCTTTTGTAAAAATTACAGCCAAGAAAACCCTATGGGATAAGACAGTACACAATACTGGGGAAGTCAGTACAACTTGATCAAGGCAAAGTCATAGAAGCTTATAGACATATCTTAAAAAAAAAAAAAACAAAAAAAAACACCTACATGAGACCAAACCATCAACAATTACTTTAGAACAAAGATGAGAATGTAAGCAAAAGGCAAACTAGATAAATGGAAATGGAACCACTAAAACGGAAATAATGAAAATGTTCATGCATTGTGAAGAATGTAACCAATGTCACTGAACAACTTGTGTAGAAATTGTTGAATGGGAACCTAAACTGCTTGTAAACCTTCACCAAAAACCCAACAAAATAATATTAAAAAAGAAAAGAAAGAATAAGAAAACCCTACAGGGCGGTTCTACTCTGTCACATGGGGTTGTTATGAGTCGGCACACAACAAGAAGTAAAGAAAGGGATGTGACTTAGTTTTTTTTGGCTGCTGTAACAAAGTTCCACAAAGTGGATGGCTTTAAAGAACAGAAATGTATTTATTGTCTCACAGTTCTGGAGCCTAGAAGTCCAAATCAACATGTTGGCCGAGCCATGCTCCCTGTCAGCTCTAGGGGAAGATTCCTTCCTGTCTCTTCCAGCTTCTAGTAGCCCCAGGGATTTCCTGGCATTCCTTGGATTATAGATGTATCTTCACATGGCTGTCCTGACTGTCTCTCTCTGTGTCTCTTCTCTTTTAGGACAGCACTTAGATGGGATTAGGGCCCACCCTACTAATCACATGACCTCATGTTAATTTAACAATAACATCATCAAATACCCTATTTCCAAACAAGGTCATGTTCACGGGCACCTGGGGTTAAAACTTCAACATATCTTTTTGAGAGACACAATTCAATCTATCGATAGGAATAAAACAACCCAAGAGAAGCCAGGAAAAGAGACCAGCCAGAGTTGAAGAAAAACCAGGGTCAAACCAGGGTCAAAGCAATTCATTTGTCATTTGTGAATTCTGAGAGCACTGTTTCCATAGTTGTAGGGATGGAAGCCAGATGGAGGCCAGATGAATAGATGAGAGGTAAAGAAGAGCACCAACTAAAAATCACTCTTCCAAGAACTTTGGGAGTGGAGGACAGGAGCAAGATGAGATGGGAGTTTGAGAGAGAAGTAGAATCAGAAAAAGCATCAGGAGGGGTGGAGTAGAAGATAAAAGAAGACAAAGAATTTAGAAAAGAATACATGAAGGAAGGCAAAGGAAGAAAAGGGGTGAGAAAGAGAAAGTAATTGGGAGGGACCATGGCAGAGACCACAGGGAGGAAGGAGGAAGTTCTGAGGCTTGGTAGAGTTCAGTGTTACTCCTGAAATCTTTTTATCACTGCACTTTGAGATTCCAATTAGCGAGATAATCAGTATTTACACTTCTTATCCTCACCTGCCTCATCAGTGAGCCTAGCAAATATCCCCAGGTAGAATGATATCAACATAATTGTAGCTAACAACATTAAATTCTAATTATTTAAATTCTACTTGATAAGCATTTTCCTTGTGCTGGATCTAACTAAGCACACAGGTTAACAGTGGAAACATCCTGACTGTTACTAGTGATCATGAGTGCCTGTTTGTAAATCTGTACTATATGAGGAACTGAACTCCAGGATGGCTCCGTAGAGCCCATTCACTTCATCCTTCCATTGGCTGCATGGGGTAGGAGTCAGGGATCCATTTTCTGCAAATAATCATTTCAAATCAACTACTAAAGTCTTTCATTTAGACTCCTTGGCACAGAGAGATATCCCTCACTTTACAAAGGAGAATCGGTTCCTGCAGTTGTCTTTAAACTAAGTTTCAACAATATGATTTTCACTTTCCCATAGATTTCCACTTGTAAAGTCAACAATAGAGCTAATATTCTAGAAAGTGCTATGGTGATCATGGAGACCATGTGACAAACAGCCATCAGAGTAGTCCACTCTAAAGACCAGAGTCTAAGGGCCCATACAAATTAAAAGTTACATGGAGAGTTGCAGGTATGGAAAGATGTATGGACAAGGATGCATACTGCAATATTGCTTGTAACAATGAAAACCTAGAGTGTACTTAAATGGGACACTAATCAGAAGCTGTTAAATACGTTAAGTCATATTCATGCAAGGTTTTATTTGAGAGTCATCGAAATTATAAAGTAGCAGTAACTAGCACTTTTTTAGTGCTTACTATGTGACAGGCATAATCCTTGATTTATCTTGTTTAAATTTGACAATGAACTTTTGAGGATGGTATTCATGTTATCCACATTTTACTGAGACACTGAGCACCTGAGTAACTTGTCCAAAGTCACACATTAACAGATTGCAGACCCAGGACCTGAATCCACTCTTACTCTACTACTCAACCATAATTTTTTTTGTAGGTGTATAAATACTAACATGGGAAAATAATCAAAATATAATAAGTAAAAAAAAAAACAACAGGTTGAAATTGTGCCATTGTAATAAGTATGTAGTTAATATGTACATATATGTTTGCAAAGAACAACATCTGGTAGAATACATGCCAGCCAACTCATTAGCAGTGTTGGATGAGTGTATTTCCTTGACTTTTATTTTCTTTTGCTTATCTGTATTTTCCGTAACCTACATATATAGCTCTTCCATTATTTTTAGAAAGAATTTTTTCTTAAAAAAAAGTAAGAGAAAGTTGCAGAAGCCAGATGTCTTAGTTACTAAGTGCTACTGTAACAAAATATACCACATGTGGGTGCCTTTAAAGAACAGGAATTTATTTTCTTGCAGTTCAGGAGATTAGAAGTCTAAATTCAGGATATGGCTCTAGGGGGAGGTCCTTCTTTGACAGTGGCCTCAGAAGTTCCTTAGTGTTCCTTGGTATTCCATGGCGTCTGGCCTCCGCCTGCCTGTGTCTCTGTGTCTATGCTGGTCTTTTTATAACTCGGAAATGAGTAGATTTAGGATCCACTCTACACTGGTAATGGCCTCATTAGCATAACAAATAGGATCACATTCACAAGTACAAAGGCCAAGAATTCAACCCTATTTTGAGGGACAAAAATTCAGTCCATAACACCAGACAAGCAAACAAAAGTCAGGTTAAATGAAGGAAGTCAACTGAGGTTTAGGTGAATTGGACACCAGAAGCCAAAAGGGAGAAGCAGGAAGGACCAAGGAATATTGATGGGTAATATTAATATTGCTCTTCTAAGTTCCAGGCACCAGGTCAAGTGTTTTCCACACATCAGTTTGTTTAACTGCATGAAGTTAATCTTGTGCCTCAATTGGTATCTGTTAGAAGCAATATCATTTCCTGACTCTGGGATCTTCCCTCTGGTACTATTGTTTCCATTGCATTTGTTTTTTTGCCAAAATAGAAGAGTTCTACTTTGCTGCTTCTTAAAGAGTCTTTTTTTTTTTTAATCACCTTTGGAACCAGAATCAACAACAACAAAAATTCTTGTGTTGTAATATATTTCTTCGCTCTAGGTGACATTGTCTGACATTCAGTCAAGCCACTGATATTTATTGAGCACTCACTATATGGTCAGCACTGGATTAGATGCCGCAAGATTGCACACCAACAATATGTCATAGTCCCTGACTTGAATGAGTTTATGATCTAATTGGAAAGAAAAGATAATAGAGACCAATATTAGACAGTCTGTAACTGAGGGATCAAATGACATATCACCGGCTCCCAGTGCATGTAGACCAACAGGGATGAAGGAAGGTTGGGGCCAGGAGTGGAAAAAGACCAAGATCCAGGGTTGGGTTCTGGCACAGTGTGCATAATGGAGGCAAGAAGGTCGGCCCTGAGTGCTTACCCTTATGGCCGAGGGTGAGAAGACTGACTTGTACGATCAGGAGAGGCTAGTGGACTGTGTGTAGTGTAGATCTTATTTCGATCCCCCAACATCTTAATTTGAAGATGAGGACTTCACACAAGGAACTTGGTGTTTATATTTTCAGTTCTCCATTATCGATTTTGTCAAATGAATTTCCTTAAAATGAGATCAATTACCCAGCCCTGTGGTATGTTCTCAGCACAGCTATGTTATCAGCACAGCTTCTGCTATGGAGGTGCACAAGTAGGGAAATGAGTAAAATGTCATTATGTTCACTTTGTCTGCCTTGTGTTTCTATTAAGTTCATGTGGGACATTTCTTTGCTTGCTACAGTAAAATCCCTGACATTTATATATTTGAATCTTCCTTTCTTTTTGAGAAATATCTTTTAAACTGCACAAATTAATATACAAGAATTACAGAAAATGTTAGAAACTGTAGATAGGTAAATGAAGAAAATAATAATCTGCCATAATCTTAGCATCAAAAGATAACAAATGTTTTCATTTTATTATGAATCTGACAGATTTCTTTTATGAATACTATATATTTAAATTGATTCTTACCTGATTCATTTCTGATTTTTCCAGGAGCAGTGGGTGATTGGATAAACTACTTTACTTCAGAGCAGAAGAGAGTATTTGATGAACTATTCACAGAGAAAATGAAACACAGTGAATTGGCAAGACACTTGGAGGATTCTTCTTAATATAAACGAGAAATGAAACCAATTTCCATTTTATGTGATGCAGGGTTTGGGGACTAACTAAAAATTTTTACCAATGTGGAAAGCAGATCTTTCTTTCTGTGAGAAACAGACACTTTATGAAAGTGTCAGTAGTGTTATGTGTGAGAGACTATTATTATCACATTTTGTGAGAGCAGAGAATTATTAATAAAAGGAAGGATAAAATTTTTGAATGGTTGAATTACATATCTGTTCTCAGGATATTCAGTAAGGCAAGGAGATTACTTCTATTCAGAAAGAGCATGTTACTGTTGATGCTCTATAAGCTGCATTAATTTACAAGAAAAGAGTTGAGGGATTATCTAAAATAACAAACCTCTGAGAAGAATTTATTTTTTGCCTATTTGAACAATCATGACCTCTAGACAAACGTTTTTATTTAAACATTCCTTGGTGTCTGTGTAGAAGTATTCTCCGGTGTCATAACAATGACAAACACAATTTTAGTATTGTGAAATCACCTAATAGGTAGATTATGAAATGACCACATTCCAATGTACTGCTGAGAATGAAGGGTGAAAAGATACTCTTTCACACTAAAATCACACTGGCTTTGTATTCCAGTATTTTTCTTAATCTTTAATCAAGTCAGTTAAATTACAAAATTTCTGATTTTCCAGTTTTGAAAAGTGTAATTTTCCTTGAGGTGTTTATAATTCTTTGCAGTATTTTGAACATGTATGCTTTCTTCCAGAGGCATTTCCAGCATTAATACAATCTCTGTAATTCTCGCTCTTTCCTGTAATGAATATTTTTCTGTGGCTTTAGCATAGAGGATGTTGTAATAAAATTTCAGTGAACTTTATTTCAGAATTATTACCTAAATGACAACATACAAATTATGTATACCTATGTCATACTGTTCACATCTGTATCATCTTATCTAACTCAAGGCTTAATGGGAAATCAAAATTGTATATTGTATATGACTCTGAGCTATGAAACTAAAGCAATGGGTTGAGTTAGTTAATTCTGCCAAAAACTTTGATCCTGTACCTTAATGTACTGTAAATCTTATCTTTAGTAACAAATCTGTTGGAGTTTTTATGTGTCAAGCTTATCACAAGTCCAGTAGGTAATTAGATCTTTATAGATTTTTGTTATAAATAAAATGTATTTCTGTTGACTTCATGCAATTTAGGTTTTTTTTTCCTTCAAATATAACATTTATAGAGATTTATTTAGACATACCTCTTCCCCAAATAAATGAGGTTAGTGAATGTGAAAGGCAGTCAGATGTGATCCTGGTCAGATCTCAAGAGTGATCTTGGTCAAGTCTTCATCTTCATGTTGGAGCTAAAATCACACTTAACTTTCCCTGATGCTGATGTTCAGGGAAAGACAAGGCAATCACAGGAGGGCAAGGGAGATCAGATGAGGTTGGAAAATAAAGAAAACAATGACTGTGGTGTTGGAGGGATCAAATGCTCTTAGCCTATTTCATCTTCTCACAATATGAAGTTATCATTGAAGTTGAAAGAACTGAAATAGAACTTTATTTGATGACATGATAGTACTTTATATCTATGAGGTACCTTTGAGATGATGTAGTCCAATTTCCCTTACAGATAAGAAAATTGTTAAGGTCAATAATCTAAATGTGTAACCATAATCCATCCAAGAATCTTCATTCCAATTTCATTGTCAGTCAGTCAAAAATATTTTGAGCACTTTCTATGTACCAGGCTCTGTTGTAGACTATAAAGGAATGCCATGAACTTGATAGAGTCACTGTCATCAAAGTGCTTACACTGTAGTGGGAATAGATATATAACTTTAAAAGGTGAATATATGAGATGTGCCAGGCACCAACCAACCAAATCAAACCAAACCAAATTCACTGCCGTCAAGTTGATTCTGACTCATAGCAACCCCGAAGGGTTTCCAAGGCTGTAAATCTCTATGGAAGCAGACTGCCACATCTTTCTCCCGTGGAGTGGCTGGTGGCTTCGTACTGCCAACCTTTGTTTAGCAGTCGATCACTTTAACAACTGTGCCACCAGGGCTCCTTGCCAGGCACCATATATGTCATAAAGAAAATAAAGTGAGGTAATACGGTAGGCAGTGACTTCAGAGTTGCCTTAGCTGGAGCGTTTGACTCTGGACTCTGAGGAGGTGACATGTTGGTGTTGTTAGGTACCACAGAGTCTGTTCCAGCTCATAGTGACCCTGTGTACAACAGAAAGAAACAATGCTTGGTCCTGCGCCATCCTCACAATTGCTGCCATGCTTGAGCCCGTTGTTGCAGCCACTGTGTCAGTCCATCTGGTTGAAGGCTTTCTCTTTTTCTCTGACCCTCTACTTTACCAAGCATGATGTCCTTCTCCAGGGACTGATCCCTCCTGATAACACTTCCAAAATAAGTGAGACGTAGTCTTGCCGTCCTTGCTTCCAAGGAGCATTCTGGTCGTACTTCTTCCAAGAGAGATTTGTTCATTCTTTTGGCAGTCCATAGTGTATTTAATACTCTTTGCCAACACCACAATTCAAGGGTGTCAATTCTTCTTCGGTCTTCCTTATTCATCATCCAGCTTTCGTATGCATATGAGGCGATTGAAAACACCATGGCTTGGGTCAGGCGCACCTGAGTCTTCAAGGTGACATCTTTGCTTTTTAACACTTTAAAGAGGTCTTTTGCAGCAGATTTGCCCAGTGCAATGCGTCGTTTGATTTCTTGACTGCTGCTTCCATGGGCATTGATTTGGATCCACGTAAAATGAAATCCTTGACAACTTCAATCTTCTCTTTATTTATCATAATATTGCTTAGTGGTCCAGTTGTGAGGATTTTTGTTTTCTTTATGTTGAGGTATAATCCATACTGAAGGCTGTGGTGTTTGATCTTCGTCAGTAAGTGCTTCAAGTCCTCTTCACTTTCAGCAAGCAAGGTTGTGAAATCTGTGTAACGCAGGTTGTTAATGAGTCTTCTCCAATACTAATGCCCTGTTCTTCTTCATATAGCCCAGCTTCTCGGATTATTTGCCCGGCCTACAGATTGAGTAAGTATGGTGAAAGGATACAACCCTGACACACACCTTTCTTGACTTTAAACCATGCAGTATCCCCTTGTTCTGTTTGAATGACTGCCTCTTGATCTATGTACAGGTTCCTCCTGAGCACAATTAAGTATTCTGGAATTCCCATTCTTTGTAACGTTATCCATAATTTGTTATGATCCACACAGTCAAATGCCTTTGCATAGTCAAAAAAACACAGGTAAACATCTTTCTGGTATTCTCTGCTTTCAGACAGGATCCATCTGACATCAGCAATGATATTCCTGGTTCCACATCCTCTTCTGAATCTGGCTGGAATTTCTGGCAGTTCCGTCGATATACTGTTGTAGCCACTTTTGAATGATCTTCAGCAAAATTTTACTTGCATGTGATATTAATGATACTGTTCCATACTTTCCGCATTCTGTTGAATCACCTTTCTTTGAAATAGGCACAAATATGGATCTCTTCCTGTCGGTTGGCTAGGTAGCTGCCTTCCAAATTTCCTGGCGTAGACGAGTGAGCATTTCCAGTGCTGTGTTTATTTGTTGAAGCATCTCAGTTGGTATTCTGTCAACTCCTGAAGCATTGTTTTTCACCAGTGCCTTCAGTGCAGCTTGGACTTCTTCCTTCAGTACCATTGGTTCCTGATCATCTGCTACCTCCTTAAATGGTTGAATGTTGACCAATTCTTTTTGGTATAGTGACTCTGTGTATTCTTTCCATCTTTTTTGATGCTTCCTGTGTCATTTAATATTTTCCCCATAGAATCCTTCAATATTACAACTCGAGGCTTGAATTTTATCTTCAGTTCTTTCAGCTTGAGGAATGCTGAATGTATTCTTCCCTTTTGGTTTTTTATCTCCAGATCTTTGTAAATCATTAAAATAGTTTGTCTTCTCGAGATGTCCTTTGAAATCTTCTGTTCAGTTCTTCTGCTTCATCATTTCTTCCTTTTGCTTTAGCTACTCAACGTTCAGGAGCAATTTTCAGAGTCTCATTCATTTTGGTCTTTTCTTTCTTTCCTGTCTTTTTAATCACCTCTTGCTTTCTTCATGTCTGATGTCCTTGATGTCATTCCACAACTCGTCTGTTCTTCGGTCATTAATGTTCAATGAGTCAAGTCTATTCTTGAGATGGCCTCCAAATTCAGGTGGAGTATACTGAAGGTTGTCGTAATTTGGCTCTGGTGGCTTCATTCTAATTTTCTTCAATTTCAACTTGAACTTGCATTTGAGTAATTGACGGTCTGTTCCTCCGTCAGCCCCTGGCCTTATTCTGACTGATGATATTGAGCTTTTTCATCATCTGTTTCCACAGATGTAGTCAATTTGATTCCTGTGTATTCCATCTGGTGAGGTCCACGTGTATAGGAGGTGACATAGGAGTTCCAATTTGAATGATGAGTGTGGCTACCTTGTGAAGATCTGGACTTGGACATGTAACAGGGAATTTGGGTTTCATTTTAGATGGGGGGAGGGTGGTCCACAGGGAAGTGAGGCATTCTGACAGACACTATATAAAGATCACTCTGACTACTAAGTGGATGATGGACCTGAGGGGTCAAGAGAGGGGGTAGAGGTAAATGGCTATTGTCATGGTGTAGGTGAGACAAGAGAAAGGCTTGGACTATGATTGTAGCAGTGGAAGTGGTGAAAAATAGTCAGTTTTATGATATAATCAGGATATTGAGATAGCTAACCTACTGCTATAGGAATGAAACCTAGATTTTTGGCTAACCAGCTGAATATCTGAGGATGTCATTTACTGAGATGAGGAAGGCTTGATAGTAAAACAATTTGTGTGTGTATTTCTGTGGGAGTGTGGATCAAGACTTCTGTTTTGGTTCTGCTAAGTTTGAAATGTCTAGTAGACACCAGGTAGTAAGTTGAATATAAGAATCTCTCTGATGACAGTTGTATTGTTCCCTGGGGCCCAGTGAGAGAGTTTGAAAAGGTGGGGAGGTGTGGGAGGTTGGGTCAGAATAGAAGACTTACAGAGAACTGTAGAAATGAGCATCTGTGTGATGATGAATGATCTGGAAAGTTTGGACTTCTGATAGTGACTAAGATAGTTAGGGATATAAATCAAGATGGGATTGGTCCTGGAAGTTGGAGCACACACTGAATGAAGATGTTGGGCATTGCTTGGCTTGCCTCCATGAAAGCAGATTAATGATGCCTAACTGTATATGACTTTGAAAGTTATCTTTAGCCTTTCCTTTTTCATTGTCATGAAACAATACTAATAACCCATTTTAAATTCCCTTCACTGAGTAGTGTTACTAAGATGAAAGTTTGGAGAAATCATTTTGTCAAAGCTTAGTCTGTACACATGAGTTTAACACTCCTAATAAACCAGG